CGATGCTGAAGGACCAGGGTGGCGGGTCTCACCGGGACTCTGATGCACATGCGCTTGGCTGGGGGCCCAGGGCAAGCTCCTGAGAGGCGGTGGGGGTCGAGAGGGGGTGGGGTGGGAAGTCGTTTGTGTCCCCAGCTGTGCCGAAAGGCAGGTAGGTTTGTCTGCTTTCCCAACAGCAGCTGCAGCTCCCCACGAGCAGCTCAAATGCTCTTGCAAATGCAATTCACATCACCCGGTCAAATTCACACCTGGGATTCCAAGAAAGAAAGAAACGTTAAGAGCTAGAGAATCAACATTCCCTTCTGTATTTCCCCCCCCCCCCCCCCCCCCCCGCACGCGCATTTGCATTCCTGCCCGGGTGCTGAAGCACGCTCACAGCTCAGACCTGGAATGGCCCTCTCCCCAGTCCAGGGCTCCCTGACACTGCTCTGGGCAAGGCCTGGAGGCTGTGCTGCCTTCTTCTGCCCACTCCACACCCCACCTCTTCTCCTCGCTGGCCTCACCTCTTCTGCCCCTTGAGACTCCTACTCCAGTCTCCTCTACTCTCCAGGTACTCTCACATTTCATTGGCTTTTTTGGTTTCTCAACTCTGCCTGTTCCCCACCAGCCACTGTCAAGTGGGAGGCCCAGCTTACCTCCCCATCTTCCCTTGGATGCATCTCACGTGCACCCACTGCCTCACCTGCAGTGGTGCCTCTGAGGCTGTTACCAAGTCCAAGCTCGTACTGCTTGCCGCAGGACAGGCTGATAAATCAAGAGCTGAGCTGTTGGGGCAAAGAATAACGACTTTATTCAGAAAGCCAGCAGACTGAGAAGATGGCGGACTAGTGTCCCAAAGAACAGTCCTACCCAAGTTAGAATTCAGGCTTCTTTTGTACTAAAGAGGGAGGGGGTGTAGTTGGTTGTTGCAGACTTCTTGGTGTCAGAAGCCTTTGTTATTGCAGCTATTCAGGTAGGTCCAGTCATGATGTTCCTATAAACCTCCAACAAGACAGTTATCCTCTGTTCTGCAACTTTTTATCTCATGAATGGAAAAGTGTTACACTTTTAAAGGTCAGAGCCTTGAGAATGGGCTATCCTGTATATTTCAGGCTATAGGCAACATTCTTAACTTGTAGCAAAAGCACCAGAATACAAAGGTTAAAGTAAAAGAAACAGATCCCATATAGAGTCATTGTTCTCCCCCACTCCAAAGCCACCTTTCCACCATACTCCCTGGGACGTTCAGCTTTCTTTGTTTGCTTCCATTTTTGTTTGTTTTTAAAAGGCACTTAAGTAGCATATACATTGATATTTTTTCCCTGACACAAAACACAGACATTCAATTAACCACATGCTAGTTCATTAGTGTCGGCTAAAAAAAAAGTATATACACACCTAAGAGTTGAGAGTTATGTTTTATTCAGCAAATACACTGAGGACTTCAAGCCTGGGAGGCAGCATCTCAAGTAACCCTCAGACAACTGCTCTGAGGAGGTGAGGGGGGCGCTAGGAGATACAGGAGTTTTACAGCAAAGGGCGGGTAGTAGGAACAAAAGATTACTGTTAATAAAAGAAAGTTAGGTATCTCAAATTAAGGAATTTAGTGCTTTTCTATGCATAGGAAAATGCAAGAGTCTAGGCTCACTGAAACCATTCTTTTGATATGAACCTCAGCTATGGGGCCAATACCCTGTGTTTTCACACCCACACTTTGCTCAAGGCTCACCATGGGGAGTGGCCACAGTCTGCTGGCTGCTAGATGGCAGGTATTCTTTGTTTCCTCCCTGAGTTCCCTCAGGGCTCACCAGCTCACCATTGGAGGGCTGCAATTGCTGATGACTCTGACATCCTTTGTTTACTGATATGGCTGGCAATGTTTTATTTCTCAAAAGACAATGTTAGAAAACAAAATTCAACTGAGTACATTTGAAGAAAAAATTGGCTTTATTCAACAATTCATGAATCAGGCAGCATCCCATCTAGCAAACAGATAGGAGGGGTCCTGTACAAAATGGATGGTTTTTAAAGGCCTAAAGGGGATGGGACAGGAAGTCATAAACAATTGAGGATTATTTCAAGCAAGGTCACTTGCCTTGGGGAAAGGCAGGGGTCTGTGTGGTAGGCTACCTCATCTATGGCCAGAATATTCCAGACTGACTGGTAAAAGGTCACATCCCTGGGAGGGACTGAACCTGCATAGGTATTCAGTCCCCATTGACTGACGTAGAGCTTAGCACAAGTGACTCCATTTTTGGATCCCTGTTTCTTTTCAACAACACCAAACCCAAACACCCCATCTTCACTCTCTTCCCCTCTCCCTGCTCTTTCCCACACTAGCCCCCTGAGAACTCTTCTGTCTGCTTATCCGTGTCAATACTGCTGCCCATAAAATTAGACAGAAGGCTCAATTTGATAACAGACACAAAATACATAGCTGCTCAAACACAATTTTTTTTTCTTGTTTCTAGTTGGATGGCAGCTCTCTGCCACCAGCTGGGAACCCAGGCCCCTCCACCTCATGACTCCATCATCCCTCGTAGAAGAGGCAAGGGCATAGGAGGGGACACACCCACTATTTCAGGCCTTGGTCCAGAAGGGCACACCCACTCCTGATGGGCCAGGACTCGGCACGTGGCCACTCCTCAATGCAAAGCAGGCCGGGAAATGTGGTCCAGTCCTGAGCTAGGAAAAGGGAAAAAATGGATTTGGAGGATCAACTGGCAGGCTCCCGAGACTGTCCAGAGCACTTATCTCTACTCCTCCATTAACCCTTCAGACAGGAAGGTTACAACTGAGCCAGAAAATGCAGAAAACAGCTTCACACCGGGGGCTGGGGTATGTGTAGGTTGCCTCCATGAAATGTTAAAGCATGGAAGATGGCAGAAGACTGTTGGGAGTCAGCTATTCAGACAAACCCCCCTCTTCCACTTCCCACCCCGTGGAAACAAGAACCCAGGGTGATTCTGCACAGGCAGCGAGCTCTTCACCTGGGCCAGAGCCAGACCACACTGCAGCTCTGCAGACAAGGCCGCTCCACGCTGGCCGATCCTGAGCTGAATTCAGCCCACGTGAAGTCACACCTAGAGATTCCCTCTCAGGGCGCACTTAGCAGCGAGAGCTTGGACATGCGGCCCCCTGGGCCACAAACATCCCACCTTGCCAGGGGTGCCTGCAGTGAGCAGGGACGTTCTCCGTGACCTCCATCCAGATACCCCAACCCCCTCCATCCTGTCCCACTCTCAGCTGCTTCCTTCGACTCCTGTCCTGGTATCTGCTTTGAAATAAAAGCAAGGTTTTATTTACAAACGAAGAGTTACTGAGGGTAGCGATCTAAAGTCCGAGCTATGGGACCAAACATCAAGCTTGCAGACCAAATGCTGCCTCTTCCTTGTGCTGAAGTCTAAAACCAGATCTATGGGATTGATAATGAAGGAAACTATCCAACCATGAGCAAGGTTAATCCATAAGTTAAGTTGGTACCACTCAAGTCCCATCCCCAGCTGTTTTCTTATTCAGATAAATGTTTTTTCTCAACGGACTGTGTTTCTCCCTTAACCAAAGGGAGAAAATGCACGGCAAAGTCAAATGACACAGAATAAAAGCCTGAGGGAAGAAACTGCTGATAAAACTTTCAGAAAGCTTTGAAATTATTGGCTAAACAAGTAATTTCATACAGTGGTCTGTATGTATTTCACAGCAGCATCAGTTCCAAATGTCCCTTTGCACTCGGATTCTGGGAGAGTTTTCCTAATGCTTCGTCATCAAATGATTGTACCGATGCATTAATCATGAAGGCCGTGAGGAATAAAATAACCGCAAGCCAAAACTGCAGATGTTAAATGTTGAGGCAGAAACCAAATGAAATGTGTAAACACATAGAAAGAGAGAGAACATTTCCCCCACACGTTTTTTAACCTTGGCATTGCATCAACCATTAGGGTAAAATGCATGCATACTTACCAATAAAATCCAGAATTTTTTTTAAACTGAAATTTGACTGACATCTTAAAGAGGTCCCTCCAAATTCTTGCCCCTAAATATAAGGAGAGTGGCAAAGGAACAATTTATTACAAAAGAATGTTTATGACATGTCTGTTCCATGCAGGCACATATAATGCACATGTTAACTTTATAACAACCCTATGAATTGGCTATCATGATTACCATTTTCTAAGTGTGAAAACTGAGGATCAATCAGTGAATTTTAATAGTCTATTGTTCTACTCAGGCTGCCATAACAGAATACTACAGACTGGGGGGCTTAAACAGCAGCAATTTATTTTCTCACCATTCTGGGGGCTGGAAGTTTAAGATCAAGGTGCCAACAAGGTTGGTTTCTGTTGACCTCGGTTGGTTTGGAAGGACCTTTCTTCCTGGCTTACAGACAGCTGTATTCTCACTGTGTCCTCACGTGGCCTTTCCTCTGTGTGCACACCCCTGGTGTCTCATCCTCTTGGATCAGGGCTCCACCCTTCAGACCTCATTTAACCTTAATTATGTCCTCAAAGCCCCCTCTCCAAATACAGTCACACTGGGGGTTAGGGCTTCAACATATTTGGGGGTGGAGTGGAGGTGCAGTTTGGTCCATAACTGATAGCATGACCAGGAGCCCACAGTTGCTGAGTGGTAGACCCAATACTGTCTGAATCTAAACATTTCTTTATCCAGAGTGCACTGCCTCTCACATACCACAGCATCTCAAAGAGAGTGCGGACACATCCCACTGTAAAAGCTGACTCTTAGAACTTGCTGGCAGGGAGACAATTTCACAGCAGTTAAGCTCTGTCCCTGTGAGAAGGGTGGTGAAGTCCTTACACAAGCTAGATCACAGAGGCCAGGAGTCCAAGGCAACCCATTCAGATGACACCCCCCAAAAAAGACTTCATCTACACTGTTAATAGCTACACAAATGGTCAAATGGTGGTTTCCTACCATATTCCATCCACAGTCGGATTTCCATGACCTCCAAAGAGCCAGCTTTTCATTCAGTTTTTCTTTTCTTTTTTCCAAACCACCAGCTAACGTCCTGGAGGGTGACTCCATGGACCAGGATGTCGAGAGCCCTGTGGCCATTCACCAGCCAAAGTTGCCTAAGCAGGCCAGGGATGACCTGCCAAGACACATCAGCCGAGACCGGACCAAAAGGAAAATCCAGAGGTATGTGCGGAAAGATGGAAAGTGCAACGTCCACCATGGCAACGTGAGGGAGACCTATCGCTACCTGACCGATATCTTCACCACCTTAGTAGACCTCAAGTGGAGATTCAACCTGTTGATTTTCGTCATGGTTTACACAGTGACATGGCTCTTTTTTGGAATGATCTGGTGGCTAATTGCATACATCCGAGGAGACATGGACCACATAGAGGACCCTTCATGGACTCCTTGCGTCACCAACCTCAATGGGTTTGTCTCTGCTTTTTTATTCTCCATAGAGACAGAAACCACCATTGGTTATGGCTATCGGGTCATCACGGACAAGTGCCCAGAGGGAATTATTCTCCTCTTAATCCAATCTGTTTTGGGGTCCATTGTCAATGCATTCATGGTGGGATGCATGTTTGTAAAAATATCTCAACCCAAGAAGAGGGCAGAGACCCTGGTTTTTTCCACCCATGCGGTGATTTCCATGAGGGATGGGAAACTGTGCCTGATGTTTCGCGTAGGGGATCTGAGGAATTCCCACATTGTGGAGGCTTCCATCAGAGCTAAGTTGATCAAATCCAAACAGACCTCAGAGGGGGAGTTCATCCCCTTGAACCAGACGGATATCAACGTAGGGTATTACACTGGCGATGACCGTCTCTTTCTGGTGTCACCACTCATCATTAGCCATGAAATTAACCAACAGAGTCCTTTCTGGGAGATCTCCAAAGCCCAGCTGCCCAAAGAGGAACTGGAAATCGTAGTCATCCTAGAAGGCATGGTGGAAGCTACAGGTAAGGTGTGCTCCATCCGGGGGTATCTGTGGGATCAATGCTCATTTTAAACTGAACCTCACATTCTTATTTTTGACAAAATATGCAAAACTGAACCTCACTCACTATTGACGCCACCTCTTTATTCATGAAGTAGTATGTGGCCTATAACCTTAAGTATGTCCACCACAAAGTCTAACAATTTAGCTTTTTAAAAGCCCTTGGGAAAATAAATTAACAAACAATTTTGTAAAACACCTCTTAATATATTTTAAATTTTCAAATATTTACTTAAATTAAAATTTGATCTCTCTCTAAAGCAATTTTTAGATTGTTTTAAAGCATTGTTTAAATTAAATACTTGAGGTTATTTATTGCCAAGCCAGGAGGAAGAAGTTAAGCCTTTCAAAGGAAGCCTGACAAATTGCTTTAATAAAAATACAATTTTGCCCGTTCTTTGGGAGCCATTTGCAAGACCCATAGCCTTGCTTTTTCTTTTATATCAATTGAGCACTTGGTATCTTTTCTCTATACTCTACCTGCCAAATCCCCTGTAGATATAATAATGCAGACCCAGTAAATAACTCTAACAGGCAAGAAAAAATATTGATATCCACTCATCATAATCCTATTGACCCATCTGCTTTGAACAGCTAACTACTGGTGTATTTTAACAAAGATGATCTGTTCTAAAAATAGAGAAATGGTCTGTTTTTATTGAAGTCTTCACTCATATCTTTCCATACGTGTTACACATCCCAGGAGCAAAGGAGGTTCTGCCTGTATTTATCTGTAACTTTCTATGAAATAGAGCCATAAACTCTGCCTTAAGCTAACAATAGTGCCTGTGGGAAAAGTATAAACTAGAACATTAATTCAAGCTTTGCTTTACTATTCTTCTGAGTCATTAGTCTTGGGATCCTCTTTAGTTATACAATCTGCCCTTCTGTGCTTTGAGGTCTTCAACTTGAGGCTCAAGTAGGTTTACAAAATCTGAAAATGCACGGCCACCAGCCAGACCCCAGACTCTTCATCCACCCATAACCTGACCTCAGTCATCCGTCAAATGAAAGTCATTGCTCCCATGTCTCAGCCTCCCTGGACCCAACAGGCAAAGTCATTACCTCTAACAAATTTCTCTTATAGTGGTAAAAACTTTTGCAATCGTTTTTTAAAATGCAGCAAACAATGAAAATGTGAGTAAAAGGCTTTGCATGAAGTGTGTGATCCTTTGCATAAGGCAAAAGGAACATCTAAAACAAAAATAATCATTGTGAAATTATAAATAAGTGCTGCACATGTGCACTGGGCTATCTGTACCCTGAGCCTGACTTTGGGGTGCCCTCGTGAGCCAATAGTTGTGTGAGGGGAGGGAGGAGGAAGGAGGGGGGAGGAGGGCGGGGAGAAACCAACTCAATAAGAGAGCTCCGTCATTTTCCCACAGACCAGAAACTACTCCCACCTCGGCCAAGCACCTGGACTCTGGGTCCCCCTAGTGGTAACCACTGAGATACAGTCTCTGGCAGCATAAACTGACCACTTATGATGCGCTTTTAATATTAGATTTCTCGCTATAAACTCTCCGGATAGGACATAAAGGAGGGGAGTGGACAAGCCTTGTTCTCCTTCCGTCTCTAAGCTCAAGAAGCAAAAGCCAGTGGAGACGTACCCTCTGTTTACTGGTGTTAATCTGAGCTTCGAATTGCAGGAGCTGTGTTCTCTCAAATCAAAACCCAAGCTCTAAAAATAAGCCAGTCCGGAATAAGCAACTTACCTTTGTGATGTCTCTGAGTCGGAATTCTCCCTGGGGCAGACCCTGTCTTTCTGAAGATAGCTTGTAATGACTGAGCCTTTCCAAATAGGGGAACAGCCTTTTGTTGGTAGTTAATAGTGATACCTCTGAGCATTCGGTGGCCTTTCTACTGCTTTCATAGAGAAAACTGGGTACTTGCCAGCAAAAAAAGAATCAAAGGCAACCACTATTAACTTTCTAAAAGTAATAATAATAATTTTCTAATTTTTGGAAAGTGGAGGAAAGAGTGTTCTAGAAAGTTCTGGGTTTGTCTGGAAGCTGGACACGTCTTGATCCTTTCCTGATAGGATTCGTAGAGTTCAGTCTTTCCAGCACATCTCATCTCTTAATTTAACGAGGCACACTTTTTTTCTTTGTGAATGAAAAGCACATTTGGGATTTATGGGTATTAAGTAGGCCCTTGGGGTGGGGGGAATGTTTCAATGAATCAAAGCCACAGGAAAAAAAATAGATGTGGACCAAATGCACCCTGAGGAAAACAGATTCACAAGGATCTAATTATTCATTGGAAGGCTAGATGGGAAATCAGGAGCCATGAAAACCGCAAGCTGACACAAAGGGGCCTCTGCTTGACTCATGCTTTCTTTCAAGTATGTCTTAGTTGACCTGAAACTACTCTCAGTGACCTCAGTTAGGATGCCTCTTTCAAGGACGAGCCTCACCATCGCCACCACTGCAACCTCCATGCGATGCCCTCCCTCTTTCTGTCTTGCACGTCGTGGGCACACAGCGACCCCGACGTGGTATTTGCTGGGGATCCGAGCTACCAGGCAGTAGGCTGACCCGGCAGGTCCTTTAGTCCACTGGGTGCTCAGGTCCCTCACAGGCCAGCTGGTTGACATATAATATGCCCACCCCAGTTGTGCTGCCCCAAGCCTGCTTCGTCACATCACTCAGGGTCAGGCTCGTCTTTAGAAAACGGGAGTAAGCTCCTTGAAGGCGGGAGGTGAGTCTTGCCCACCTTTGATGTTCTGCAGGTCCTGGCCCCAGTTCTTCATTCAGTGAGTTCTCTGGCCTCATAAAAGACAGACTCACACCCACAAAAGACAGACCCACGTTCTTGGTGGATGGTTTCGGTCTGGTCCTGCCCCCAGTCAGGGGGATGTGTCACCTCTCAAGAACCTTCCAGTCATGTGGTTCTATTTTTGAAAATGAATCAAACCCTGGAAAATTCTGACACCAGCCACCCAGACATCTGGGAACTGGCCGTGTCTCATCCCATAAATATATTTTTAAAGGGGGCCCTTTATGTTCCTGACACAGGGGCAATTTGGAGATAGTGATGTTTACAGAAGGGTTCATAGCTACGTAAACAAACATGCCGAGCAGCTGTGGCAAGTGAGCCTTAAATAGTAAAGCATTCATATAGACTGTTATTTATAGAGGGCAAATTGGCATAGAGGCTAGATGACAGCCACACAGAGCTGGGCCCGGTGCCAGCCAGCTCCTCACTATAGGCTTTCTGATTGATGAACTTCCATATTTACCCCCAACGATTATGCAACTATGACAGGCAGCCCTTTCCAACACCTCAGCAAATATGTCTCCTTAGAATGAATCCCATTAAGCTTTTTTTTTAATTTTTATTTTATATCGGAGTATAGTCAATTCACAATGTTGTGTTAGTTTCAGGTGTATGGCCAAGTGATTCAGTTATACATATACATATACCTCTTCTTTTTCAGATTCTTTTTCCATATAGTTTATTATAGAATATTGAGTAGAGTTTCCTGTGCTATACAGTAGGTCCTTGCTGATTATCTGTTTTAAGCTTTTTTTTTTGCATTTTTATTATGGAAACTATAAAACTTATATAAAAGTAGACCAAATCCTATAATCAACTCCCATGTACCCATCATTCAATTTCTATAATTGTCAATTCATGGCCAAACTTGTTTCATCTGTGTCACCCACTCACTAACTGCCCCTCCAGCATCATATTTTATCTGCAAATATATCAATATGTCTCTAAAAGATAAGGACTCTTTAAAAAAACATAACTGTAGGGCTTCCCGGTGGCGCAGTGGTTAAGAATCCACCTGCCAATGCAGGGGACACGGGTTCGAGCCCTGGTCCCGGAAGATCCCACATGCTGCGGAGCAACTAAGCCCATGCGCCACAACAACTGAGCCTGTGCTCTAGCCCATGAGCCACAACTACTGAGCCCATGTGCCACAACTGCTGAAGCCCATGCGCCTAGAGCCCGTGCTCCACAACAAGAGAAGCCACCGCGATGAGAAGGCTGCACACCGCAACAAAGAGTAGCCCCACCTCCTGCAACTAGAGAAAGCCCGTGTGCAGCAACGAAGACCCAATGCTGCCAAAAATAAATAAAATTAAATTAATTAATTTAAAAAACATAACTATAACACTGTTATGACACCTAAAACAATTAATGATCATTTCTTAAGATCCAATATCTACTAAATGCTCTGACTTCCGTTTGTCTCATAAATGTCTTTTTAAGTTTTGTTTAAATCTGCTGTTTGAATCCAAATCAGGTTAGCACACTGTTACCGGCTGAGATCTCTTCCAAGCCTTAGTCTATGAGCTCCCCTTCCATCCCTGTGGGGTTTTTATCTTTCAAGTTTTTCTCAAAGAAGAGAGTTTCTGAAATATTTATATACTACGAAGAAAGCTGGGGAAAGTGGAGGGTGGGAGGAAGCCAACTTAGTGAAGATATACTAGATAACATTTTGTAGATGAGGAAGCAGGGCTGACTGTCCGGACGTCAGTATCTACGGGTTACCAAGGAGGAGGGGGAGTGTGTGTCAGAAGTAGGCAAGCAAACCGGAAGTAGGTGAGGGCAAGCCATCCTTCCCCACAGGAAAGCTCAGTTCTTTATTCACATGAGGAGAGCTTAGTCACATAAATCACATCACAGGATTTTTGAGTTGCAAGAGTCTTCGCCCTACTCTTAATTACTTTACAGGTGAGGAAATGGATGCCCAGCAAAACTAGCGAGCTGGCTAAGGTGCGATAGTTACGGGCAGAGCAAGACCTTGAAACCCTGAACCACTGATGATGTCCAGCCTCCAAGTTCAGTGCCCTTTGCATCATGAATGCTGTTGGTTCGTGAAGATTCTGCAGAGCATGCACCCGAAAAGATGACTGGTATTTAACGTGCAGACAGGCTCTCTTTTCTCCCATCCTTAGCTCTTTTTCTTTAAGGCTTCTCTTTCGGTCTCCAATGTTATCAGTTCATTTT